CATGCATGGTGCCAGTCGCCTAGCTTTACCTAGGCTCCGCCTACGCGTTTTTTCGCCGCTCGCGAAGCTCGGGCCGCTTCGGGCTCCGCGTGGCGGTTGTCGAGCCCTCAGCGAAGACTTTAGGGTTTAGGGTTCAGGGTTTAGGGTTTAGGGTCTAGGGGTTTAGGGAACCCTATACTATCCCCTGAACCCTAAAGGCCCTGAAGGCCCTGAGAAGGCCCGGTCTGGCGTAGGTTTTTCGTGCTTTCGGTGGTCCCCTGAGCCCTGAAATCCTAAATCCTAAGGGCCCTAAACCCGGTTTAGGGTTTAGGGTTTAGGGGTTTAGGGTTTAGGGTTTAGGGGTTTAGGGTTTAGGGGCCCTAAACTCTAAACCCTGAACCCTGAAACTGAAAAAGGTCCGGTCTGGGGTAGAAACCCCGATGCTTTCGGCGGGGTCCTTCACGTACTTGTGCGCCTGGGCGTGGGGCCCCGAGTAGATGAGGAAGTCGTACTCCTCCTCGATGACCTGGGAAGGCCCGAGCTTCGGAGCTTGCCGGGTTCCCCTTGAAAAAGGGCTCCTTTTAGGGTTTAGGGTTTAGGGTTTAGGGGCTCCTTTAAAAGGGCTCCTCCATGTAGGGTTCGTTGAAGGGCTACGAAAAAGGCGGTTTGGGGGTTTTTGGGGGTTTGGAGGTTTGGGACTTGGGTTTTGGAGCTTTGGTGTTCAAGCGTGTGGGGTTTAGGGTTTGGGCTCTGGAGCTGAGGAAGTTTGTTTCGGGCTGTCATTCTTTGAGGGCACCTTTGCAGCAGGGGATTGAGATACCGATGGCGATGATGCCCCAAGCTTTAGGGTTTAGGGTTTGAGGTTTAGGGTTTAGGGTTTGGGGTTTGGGGTTTAGGGTCGCGATGATGCGGTCTAAGACTGTAGCATGCAGTCGCTGGCAGTCAGTTGGTCGGGAAGCGCGGCTGATTGCTCCCCTGGTTCTACTTCTATTGAAGGTCCCATAGCGGTTCCAGGAGCGCCCTGTAACATACACAATAAAATAATAACTACCCACCTGAAAATGTCCTAGATACTGCCCCGCGCAGCTTTCACAGGGCCTACCTGTGGCCCAAACGACCTTCCTTTTTGAGGTAACTATAGATAGAAACCATAAGAAGGAACCCTAAAAAGGTAGGTCTTATAGAAACCAGAATAAGGAATTCAAGGAACTATCTCTATATATATATCTCTCTATATGCATATATATATATAGATAGATAGATAGATAGATAGATAGATAGATAGATGGATAGATCGGTAGATAGATAGACACCGTATTAAGGATCCCCCTAAAATCCCCCCTAAACACCGAAACCCTAAGCCAAGGTGGTCTCCTTTCGGCTACAGCTGCGATGAAGCCCACGAGTCGGAAACCCAATGGCCCCAACCCTTAAGGGTTTAGGGTTTAGGGGTTTAGGGTTTAGGGGTTTAGGGTTTAGGGGTTTAGGGTTTAGGGTTTAGGGTTCCTGCGTAGCCCTATAATATTAAGGGTGCCCTTTATCCGACTATTCGGTGTTAGTGAGGGGGCCCTAAAATAAAAAGGGCAAGGGGGTACTACTCAGGGACCTAGTGTATAAGGAATCCTCCCAACACTATTTGTCCTTAATCCGGTTTCCAACTGTTCGGGGGCTTCTACTTATTATAACGGGATGTTTTTGGAAATGGTGGTGATCGCACTAGTTTCGGCCTCCGAACGTCCG